AGTTCCGTTCTGGTTTTGACAGAGTTTGGGAGAAGAATGCGATGGGGGCTTCTGTTCCGTTTGGCATTGTGTGACTCAATACTGCTCCAATCCAAAAGGGGATGCATCACACGTTAGTCTTATTGGCAATGTCCTGCTGTATTGCACCAAAATTCTGTCCAAAGTCAGTAGATGTTTGATATCTTCGAATGCCTTCCTTTCTTGATTCCCACATTTCCATTCTGCCTTTCTGTCCAGTAGCCGGTGGAGTGGTTCAGCAGTAGTGGCTTTCTGCAGCAGGAATATATTATAAAAGTTAAGCAACCCCAAAAACGCCTGCAGTTCCATTTTATTTTTTGGTGTGGGTGCTTTTTTGATGGCTCTCAGCTTCCCTGGTGTGGGCCTGATTCCCGACCCGTCAATTAAATATCCCAGGAACTCAACCTGCGTTTTCACTAGATGGCACTTGTCCCTTTTTACCTTGAGCCCCACTTTCTGGAATCTTGTTAGCACCTCCCGTAATTGCTGTTTCAATTGGGTCGTGTCTTTTGCTGATATAAGGACATCGTCGAAGTAAGGGGACGACTCCGTCAATTCCTTGCAGAAGCCGTTCCATCAAGCTTTGGAATAGCCTGGGTGCTACGCTCACCCCAAATTGCAGTCTTTTACACTTAAATGCCCCTCTGTGGGTGACCATTGTTTGGGCCTCAGCGGTGGCCTTGTCTACTGGAAGCTGTTGGTACACTTGTGCCAGGTCTAACTTTGCAAAGATCTTTCCCCTGCCCAAAGAGTGCAGCAGATGTTGTACTACTGGCACGGGATATGCGCTTTGTTGGAGCGCCTTGTTAAGGGTACTTTTATAGTCTCTGCACAAGTGCACTGACCCATCTGGCTTAATGGGTGTCACGATAGGGGTCTCCCATTTTGCATGATCTATAGGCTCTAAGATTCCCTGGGCAACCAGCTTGTCTATTTGCTCATCTATCTTAGGCCTTAGAGCAAAGGGGACCCTTCGAGGCTTAATCTGGACAGGGGCTACCTGGGGATCTAGGCTAAACGTGATTGGGGACCCCTTGTACTTGCCTAGCTCGCCATTAAACACTTCCGCGAACTCTTTCATCAGGTCCTCTTCCCGGGCATCGTCCCCGATGTGGTCGATGCCGGTAATTGCCAGCCCCAGAGGCTCGAACCACTCCATGCCCAATAGGCTGGGTCTGTCTCTGTCCACTATTGTGAGGGGCAGTTTAGCTTTAAAGAACTCCTACAGTTCTTGTAGGAGATGTTGAACATGCCGATGCCACTATAGGAATTCGGTGCCCTTGGTAATCGATGAGCGTTAGGCGTTGCCGTTTGAGTTCGCGGGTCATGATGTGTGGCATCAGTTTCTTTATCGTTGTCCAGGATACCATTGATAAGCAGGACCCCGAGTCCACCTTCATTTTGCAGGGTCTTCCTTCTATGAGGACGGTCGCTGCCATCTTGTTCGCCTTTCCCGTGCTGGCGTGGCCGACCACGATGGTCTGATGGGTTTCGCCTCGGTCTGCCCTGTGGTCCTCGTTCCTATGGCCTCGTCCGAACGGTTGCTTCCTTCCGCTGGCCTGGAACTTTCTGTTATTCGTTGGTGAACAGGGAGGTCTGGTCCTTCTGGAAACTGGCTGGGATGCCCTGCAAGCTCTTGCTATATGCCCTTTTTTCTCACATCTCTGGCAAATGGCATCCCGGAACCTGCACTCGGCCCATGGGGGGTTGCCTTCGCATCCCGAGCACCAGGCCTCTTTTTTCCCTTGTTGCCTCTCTTTACGTTTGGACCAGAGGTGATGGACTTCATCTTCCTCCTCTTCCTCCTCCGATTCTGACTCCACTTTCTCATAATGCACTGATGCCTCATCCTTTATTGGCGGTCCGTTTTTCATCTTTTTCATAGCCGCCGCAGATTTCTGGGATGCTTCGGTTGCTGATGCCTCTTCCAGAGCCTCCTTGAATGTAATCTGAGGTCTGGCTAGCAACCTGCTCTGCAAAGTGAGGTCTCTCAGTCCCAGCACCAAACGATCCCTCATCGCCTCTTCCAAATTCAAGAAGTCACATGCGGCGGCTATCTCTCTTAATGTTGCCACGAATGCACTGATTGACTCTCCCTCTCTCTGGTCCCTCTGGTAAAACTCATGCCTTCTTACCAGAGAGGATGCTTGCGGTGCGTAGTGGGTCTTTTGTATTTCCTGTAGCGTTGTCCAGGTCATTGTTCTCAGGTCGGCCGGGGCGGCGAGTGCCTTTGCCATTTTAAAAACTACTTGTCCTCTGTTCTGACAAGCTTAATAAGTCGTTTGCCTCCGTGAACATGTAGAAACGCTCCATGTAGGCTCCCTAATCTTCTCCGGTTGGGTTGAATGGAGCGGGCGGGCTGATTGCAGACATCTCGGTAACCGATGATCTGACACGGTGCGGTATAGTAGATTTGATGGTTGTTGATTGCTTGGAGTTCGCTGTACCGTCCTTTTCTTCAGGATCCCACCTTCATCGCCAGTGTTAAATAGTGGGCGGTTGAAGAAAGGACTTGATACAATGTATAATATCAATGCTTTATTTAAGCTCTGTAACAGCAATGGCAACTCCAGCCACGGCAGCCCTTTATAAGCAGGAGCTGTCCGCGGTTTCAGCCACTGACGTTTCTCTAAATTTCCCACTCTCAGGATTTATTCCTGATTGCCTTATTTAAACTGTCACTTAATACTCAACAGTTTGCATGATTAACTTTATTTACAATGCAGAAAACTAAAATGATAATGACTAGTTTTCTTTTTTTAATATATAGGTGGTTTTAGCATTAAAAAAAAGATTGGCACAGAAAGAGGAAATAATTGGTTCCCCTATCAAACTTTCATGTAATATTACTCTTATTAAACTATATGCTCATTGCCAACAAGTGAAGCCAGTACAATAAATGTCTAGAATTAATGCAATTTAAATATGAACAACCTCTAGATGAAAAACAAATCATTTCTTCAATTGTTTCCCTAAGTAACTGCTGCTATCACTATTATAAGGTAGGCAGAAATTTTGAAAAAAAAGAGATTTGGATAAATTGTACTGGGAGAATAAAAACCTCCTGTAGTATTAGATACTTGATTTAATCATGTTTGCCTAGGGTAAAACACAGTTTCTCACTGTGGGATATTCATCAGGGCTTTTTTCATGACAATATTGTCTTTTTTATTGAATGACAGATCTATACATAAATTACCAAGAAGCTAAAATATTTGCTTGTTTATTGCACTTTGATTTTAGGAGAGCTGTTTGCCTCTTGGATTTTGCAGTGATTTATCTCTGAGGAATGAGGGAACGGACAGACCTGTCCCAATGTCTGAATTGGTTAGGCAGTTGCATCCTAAGCTTTATTTAGTTTGCTATAGAAATAGCTATTTTAGATTGATTGGGATCATCTGATTCAAAGTATTTATCCTCATTATTAAGAGTGGGGGGGAGGAAGGAAGGAAGGAAAATTCATATGACTAGGGTAACTGACAGTCCTCTTTCTTCCCTTGTTGTTCTAGTCTAATTTTCATGGGCAGCAGCTCAGCCAAGTGATTCCTTAGAGGTGCATTCCTGTACCAGCTGAAAATGAGAACTGTGCAACTTTCTGTTCATTTGCTCTGAAGCAGCAAGGAGGAGCTATTAAAGGTGTCATGCTAAATGAGGCAAGGGAAATATAGGAATCATCCTGCAAGAGATTGGCAATCAGGGAAAACTCTAGGTGGATACCCTACAGTCCATCATAAATTAAAACCTTTGAATCAAGGAAAGATATAGAAGAGATAAAAGAACATGACAGCTCCGAGAGCCAATCAGCTAGGAGGTTGAGCTATTCCAAGACTCAAAAGAAATGCATGAAACCTGTCTGCATTTTGTGTTTTCTGTCTATACCAGGGGTATCAAACTCGCGGCCCGCAGGCCAGATCCATCATATGCTGGCCACGCCCACCTCCGGTTTAGTGAAGGGGAAGAAAGTTGTGATAGATGTGACCACAATGTGTCATCGCGAGTTTGACATCCCTGGTCTATACCCTTGAAAGTAAATTTCTCTCTAAATGCAAATATTGTTGTTGCTACATCTTAAACCTATAACTGGTTTGATTATTTCCCCCTTCCAATGGATAATCAGTCTGAATTAACTACCATGAGCTGGCTTGACATCAATTAGCTGCCCTCCTGCAGGGGTCAGCAACCTGTGGCTCTGGAGCCGCATGTGGCTCTTTCATCTCTCTTCTGTGGCTCCCTGTTGCTGGTCAATGCCACAATTTTGAGAGGAGCTTCCGGTTATTGGGGATGGCATGCCAGGAGGAGACTCTATGGCAAGGGGCGGGTTTTCCGGTCGGCTCCACAATTGATAGGGCTTTTGGTTAGGACAGATAGAGGAAAAAGGACACCGCACTAGGAGGAAACTCTAAGTAGGGGAACCAGACTTCCTGTTGGCTCCAGAATTGAATGGGGGGCTTCTGGTTAGGATCTTTGTGGCTCTTTGAGGGTTTAAGGTTGCCGACCCCTGCCCTAGTGGAATGCTGACGACCATTCCTCTCAAGATAAAGGCAGCATCCAAAAGTAGGAGTTGCTGAGGTGGGCTGGTGGAAGTGGGCTTCCCATCTCCCAACTCTTCTGAATCCAATTTAAAATGCACCTACGTTTGTCACGTTCTTGATGTTCTGTGAGAATGCTTCTCTTGCAGATGTTTCATTAATTGGCTAGGTACCACCGTCAGTGCAGTGCACTGGTAATGAAACATCTGCAAGAAGACAAACAAGCTCACAGAACATCAAAAACCCAACAACTCAATCTTGAGCCACATATATTCTCCAATTTGATACTTGAGAAAAGAGCATGGGCATGCTTGCATGTTATCAAGAGCATGGTTCTCATAGAATTGCTAATTAGCTTTTGTTCTTTTTTGCCAATAGCCGCCTAGGATGATCATCACCAGGTGTTCAGCTCTTTAATCAATGACCTTTTCTTCTTTTTAATGTTATGACTAGGGGGATATGATGAAAATGATGTCCGTTTCGTGTGGTTGAGGGGAAATGATTCTGTCCATGGCCTTGAGAACTTGCGGCTCTCGCAGTACACAGTGGAACATTTTTACACGCTTGTAACCATGTCGCGTCAAGAAACAGGTAACAAATCAGCAGTGGAAATAAAGACGGTGTGGAGAGCAAGGTTTATGTCAGATCTAACTATTTTCAGTGCCCTAACCACCCCTGAAGCTTTCTCTGACAAGGAGAGCTCTGCAAGTAAAGTTTCTGCAAGATACCCTGTCAAAATCATATGCTCGGCCTTTACACTTGACACTACTTTATATTATTATCATGTCACATGGAGATTTGGAGTAATCTGGTTCTTAGTGAGACGTAGCACATCATTTCCTTCTCTGAAAGAACATTATAAGAATATATGATATTTTTTTCTTTCTTGGACCAGGCATTTATCCAAGACTGGTCCTGCAATTTGAGCTCAAGAGAAATATCCTTTATTTTATTCTGGAGACTTATGTGCCAAGCAGTCTGCTTGTCATTTTGTCTTGGGTTTCTTTCTGGATCACTCTGGATTCAGTCCCTGCAAGAACATGTATTGGTGAGTGACATGAAAAAGATGCACTTGTTTTATGGATGCAAAGATGAGGGGTGGACTGAAGAAAAATTTGCTTAGATAAAAACACGGGTTATCTTAAATGCAAGATTTAAAACATTATGCAACCAAACTATTTAGAACTAAATGAATAGCCACCACAATTTCATATTGGTGGAGTTTCCAATTTTCTCAAATTTTGGATGGGAAGTTGTAGATCAGTGGTGAAATTCAAAATTTTTTACTACCGGTTCTGTGGGTGTGGCTTGGTGGGCATGGCAGGGGAAGGATACTGCAAAATCTCCATTCCTACCCCACTCTGGGACCAGCCAGAGATGGTTTTTGCTGGTTCTCTGAACTACTCAAAATTTCCACTACTGGTTCTCCAGAAACGGTCAGAACCTGTTGGATTTCACCTCTGTTGTAGATGCATTCATTATTTGACCTTGTATCTGGAATGTAAAATGATAGATATTGCATGATTTGTATTGGTTAGCATCACCTGATGATTTTGATTTTGGCATGGTTTATATGTAGAATCTCATAAACTATAACTTACTGAACATCATTACAGGTATTTTAAAAAGCTGTATTGAATGAAAAATTTAAAATGTAAAATTTTAAATATCCTTGCATGTCAACCTCAAAGCAACATCAGAATATGGGATAATATATATTTATATTTTACACTATCTTCCATGGATGCTCAAGTATTTTGGAAATTTATTATCAGATATTTCTCAAGTAGAGGATTAGTAATAGTGGGTCAACTCTCTGAAAATTTCAAATTTCACAAAAGATGTATTGCTCATCTCTACATTATTCCTCACATTAATGTTTTCTGTAATATAAAGAAATTAACGTTCTAGGATATCCTTTTCCTTCATATAAGTGTAAGATTCAGTAATACCCCTTGCACATGCTATACTTATTCTAAGACCCTTTGCATTACACTTGAAAACAAATTGAATGTTCCTTGAAGGCTGGATGATAGAAAGGACTGACTGAGGATGGATAAAAAGGATGGAAAGATAGATAGAAAGATGATACAAAGACTGTAAAAGGAAGAAAGAAAGAGAGAGAGAAAAAGAGAGAAAGAAAAAAGAAAGAAAGAAAGAAAGAAGAAAGAAAGAAAGAAAGAAAGAAAGAAAGAAAGAAAGAAAGAAAGAAGAAATTTTTTATTTCTTGACAATGTCACACTTTGAATGGAGATTTTAATCCATCCCCACTTCCACAGTGTAAGTGCTATGGGGAAAATCTATTTGGTTATATGGCTGTTTTTTGCTTTCTGCATGCTGTCTGCTATCATCTCATCAAAAGCTTTCAGGATTTAACAATATGGCCCTAAAAAACAAAAACAGATAGCATTCTCACATATCAGAAACTACCAGGTGTTTATAATAATCCATGGCTTTTCACAAAAAGCTACCCATAAAAGAACCATCTGTTGTGTCAAATTTCAGACAAAAGTATTCTGTGTTCATTTTTTTGTTTTTTTAAAAAAATCTGACTGTATTTTCCAGGTGTAACCACAGTTCTCTCAATGACAACTTTGATGATGGGGTCCCGAAAGTCAATGACAAATGCCAATGGTTTCATAAAAGCCATTGACATTTACCTGGGCATCTGCTTCAGCTTTATATTTGGGGCGTTGGTGGAATATGCAGTAGCACATTACATCACATCACAGAAACAAGCTGCTAACGAGACCCAGAAGGTAAACCTTGTTCAGTCAGATTATGTAGTGAACAAGCATTTTCAGTGGATGGATGAATGTGTGGATAGCTAGAGAGATAGATAGATAAATAATTATACATGGATTTGTTCCCTCTAGGAATTATGTCAATAAAACAGCTGGAAAGGCTGCATTGAGACTTTAACATGACACAGTGAATTTGTGTAGTTTGCTGGGGTGGAGGGAAAGAGCCTGGGTTCTTCTTTCTTCCAAACTCAGAAACAGTTCTTGAAGAAATAAGTCACAGTAGAAGAAAGAAGGTGAATCTTCTCTTTAGTCCAGCCTGTGACCTCCCTTTGGGATCTGGAAGTCAGAGGAACTTCATTGCCCTTCCATTCCTTCCCTATACAAGTTGAGTAGACTAGCAGCTGGATCTTATTTGAAAGCTTTGGATGGATCATTCTCCTGCTTTGCTCATGAGGAGAGCAGGCTGGCTTAGAAGATGAATATGGTGGAGTCCCATGGACTGTGAAGCTCAGTAGAGTAGCCAAGGCTACTCTCCCCACTTTACTGTCTGGTTCCAGAGTCCAAACAGAATTAGCTAGAGCAGGGGTGTCAAACTCAAGGCCTTGGGGCCGGATCTTGCCCATGGGGTGCTTAGCTCTGGCCCTCGAGGCCGCCCTGGAAATAGAGAAGGACTGGCCTGCAGTGCCTCTGCCAGTGAAAACAGAGCTCGCGAGGGCGGCCCTCCCAAGCTTCATTTTTGCTGTCAGAGGATTGCAGGAGTCCGACCCAGCTGAAAATGGAGCTTGGGAATCTGTTTTTGCTAGCAAAGTGCTCGAGCCACCACAGGTGCCGGGGGGGGGGACACAAGTGATGTCATGCAGGCCATGCCTCCCCTGGCCATGCTCCCTGGCCCCATTGAGGTAAAACATAACCCTGATGCGGCCCTCAATGAAATCGAGTTTGACACCCCTGTGCTAGTGGATCATGGCATGTTTTTGTGAGCAACCCTAACCCTAAAAAATATGCTGCTTATGGTATTATGAGAGAATTAATTTTATTCAGGTATGGAGATTACCAAAGTTATGTTTATATTTACAATATGTTGATTGAATACCTAGACCAGGTATTATTTTTATTATTATTATTATTTAATTTAATTTAATTAATTAATTCAATTTAAATGCCGCCCCTCTCCGAAGACTCAGGGCGGCTCACAATACATTTTAAAAAATCATTATAAAAAACATTTAAAAATTAAAAACATTAAAAACATTAAAAACTCATTCACGCCATTCATGGCCGGATCTCGCCAGAGCACAAGAGCAAGATCAACGGCCCCATCTCTTTTATTCATTAAACATGAAACTCAGTCAACTGAACATTTAAAAATGTGTCTCAAATACCATTGACTGGTGCTAATGGTTGATATGGGTTGCTGCCAGCATCCTAGGTATCAGCCAAGTACCTTCTTAAGATGTACGATGTTCCGAGTAGTGCAGTTTTTTGCAGTTCCGCTGGTGTTATTGCAGGAAGGTGCAATTTCTTGATGTGTTTTGTAAAATTCTTGGACATGGTACTAAGTGCCCTGATGACAATGGGTGTCACTGTTACATGTTTCATCCATAGCTGTGTAGTTTCCGTGGCCAGGTGTGATATTTCATGATTTTTTCCAGTTCTTTTTCTTCAACTCTGGCATCTCCTGGTACAGCGATATCAATAAAATTGTTGTTGTTGTTGTTGTTGTTGTTCCCTTCTGGCCTTAGTATTGGTAAATCAGAATTTAGCTTTTGCTAAGATTTCTATTGTTTGTTAAAATCCCAAGATGAAGTTACATTAGCAGCAGTCATACTAAATGTCTGTTCTTTTCAACTGCTGTAAAAAAATTTTTTTAATTTGCTAAATTACCACATACCTCTATCATCTAACTGTAACTTTGGTCTATTCTAGACTTCTACAAAAGATGCCACCAGAGAAACTGAAAATAAAACCACCATCGATATATTCAATACGTCACTCACTGCCAGTTTCAATCAAAAAATAAATTTTGTCTCTATTGATAATTCCTCTTGCAACAGCTTACCTTTGAGCCCAAAGGATAAAATTCAATACATCTTGAAGAACAAACTTCAGAGACTCACCAGCTATTTTACAATTCAAAATCCAAGCAAAATTGATTGCTATTCGAAATGGTTATTTCCCTTTTTTTTCATACTAGTCAATCTGTTCTACTGGGGCTATTACTTGATTTTCTAGAAAAGTGCCTTTTCTGTGTAGAAGAGGAACTGAAAATGGGTCGGCACTATGGATTCAGGATTGTACTTTCAATTTATGTAGATGTTTCTATGGATGTAGCAAATGGTGGCAATTTGTTATGAAAGAGAAATGAAAGAACCTGTCAACAAGAGTCTTGGGTAGATGGCTTGTCTGTTTTGATTCTCTCCCCCCACCCCCATGCTAAAATGTGTCTGCACTACCATATTTTGGATATGGTCCAAAGTATGATGTCCCTGCCCTTAAGCAGAGAAGAGCAAGAGCCGCAGACTGTGGGCCAGGAATAATACAGCTTTTTAAATATTCCTTTTCACATGTATGTTAAGTACCAATGAAGATTTGTTTCTGATTAAAAGTCATAGGATTGTTCTTGGAACAATGTCCAAATTAGCTAGTACATCTTTCTTGTATCTTACAGTTTACAGATATAGGAAGTCTAGTTTAAACCAGATAGGGTGTGGGATAGGGCGAATTAACTGATGATCTACAATTGCAATCCCAATTGGTTCCTCATGTTTGCTGTTTATATCATGAGGAGAGAAATCAGGGTTGGCACAAATGAGAATTCTTTTCCAGTGAAAATAACAGATATTGGGGACCCAATGAAGCCTGGATTGCAACAGGAACAAGAGTTAAGCCCCATTATTTAATACAAGATTCTTCACTTATATCAGCCCATTGCAGATCCTATTTGCTTTCTGAAAAGCCAATAAGACATAATGCCAATTGTGACTTGTCCAAGGAGAAGAAATTCCAATATGTGTGTCAGAATATTTCTTCTAAAATCAACTGATATTTTTTCAGTAAAGACATAATAACAACAAATTTTCTGGTGTTATGCCATAAATAGGATCCAAAACTTTGAAATCTCTTGTATATTTAATACAGGCTCACATTGGATAAATTTCTAGGCCATTTACTGTGTTGATTAACCATTAAATTGACGACTGATGTCTAATTCAAGAAATGTACTATATATTGTGCAATGAATAAAATAAATTCCCATATATAATAATGGATGGGGTTACTTGATTTCAAAAATTCTCTGGCCCACCAAAGATTCTTCAGTTACTTAACTATATTCATTCTACAACATGTTTAATATTTATATACAGAATTTTAAGTAATGAAGCAGGTAGCTTAGTATGTTTTTTGAATTTCTGTCAACCCAACATTGGTTTCTACCAAAATAGAACAACTGGGCCCTGTAGGGGATTTTTTTTTTTAAAAAGAATTTTATTGAAGCTTTTAGCAAACATAGTAAAATCTAATACAAACTAAATAGAAGGGGAAAAAAAGTAAACGAGAGATACAGGAAAGAAAAAAAGAAAAAGAAAAAAGAAAAAATCAACACACAATAATAAAAAAATGGCTTCCAAACTTCATTACACTGAGGATAAGCTAATATAACTTTATACCCTCTTTTAAAATTACAAATAAAAAATCCACTTCTTCCAATAGCCTAACTTTTGCCTTTTTTTCTTTTTGCCAATTGTATATTATTTTAAGCTCTGTTTAAAATTCATTAAATCCAAAGAAAATAAACTCACCAGTAGTCAAATTAAGCTCACTGTTTTGAAGGTCTTTAATATCCATAAAGTAGTAAGATTTAAGGTTTCCAAATGTGATTAGAAATAAGCTGGCTGATTATTAACTTCTTGAAATGACTGAATATATTTTCCAATTTGGGCTGGTGGAAAATTTCTAGGTTGCATATCAGTTTATCTAACAGGTATGTATTCTGTGATTAGTTCAAACTTTTTTTGACTATTCTTCCTACCAAGAAAGTTAAACATAGGGAACATTATGGATTTTTTCTGTAATAACATTTAATTGAACCCTTTCCCTACAATTCACTGTGAAGGTCAAAAGTGCCTATTTGAAAATCATCCACTACATAAAGTGCAATATTCAGGAAAACCACCCCAAAATAGACTTGTTAAGTAAGATGAATAAACACATGTTCTAGTAATGACAGGTGACTTTGTACATACCCTGTCATTTAAAATATATGTTATATAAAATGTAGAGTGGATTAAAAAAAAGTAATGATACTTTCTCTTTACATTGTCTCTTTTCAATCTCAAATGCCATTCTTTTCGTTGTTCACCAAAGTAAACTTCTTTAAATGTTATCAACATAGTACATTTCATATTTATATACTAATAGTTGGTATACCTTTCATTGTCAGGAAGGCTCCCTACACAACAGACCAAAATAAAAATGCTGAACAGTTCTATGCCTAATAATAGAATCATGGAAATAGAAAGGACTACTAAGGCCATCAAATTCAACTCACTCTATAGCTGAAGATGCAACAGATAAATGGTAAGGTTTCACCTACTAATGTGAAACTCATGCATTTTTCATGGGAACTACAGCCTGTGCCAATAGCAGATCCATCCATGTCATGTGTTTGGGGGGAACATATAAGAGTAAATAAAGAATCCAAAGGCCTAATCTGCATAAATCAAAGCTGTGTCAGTTACAATACCATTAAAGTTCTGTCACTGGCTTAACATCTTATACATTATAAAGGTCTTTGGACTGGTTAGAAAAAGACTTGGGGACAAAACATGTTCTCAGTCCCCAGGTCACTATTATCACTGCCATACAAACCTACCAACTAGCTACCATGGAGTAATTGAGATAACAATGTCCACATGGACAGAATATAAAGCATAGCTTTCCATTTTCTATCACTCCAAAGTTACAGGTATGGTTGAGTGATTAAGAACTAGGAACGGGGAGAATATCAGCCATAGAAGTTCACTGGTTGACTTTGTGCATGCCCCCTTCCTTTCTCTATGAGCCCATCTCACTTCAGGATGGTTGTTGTGGGGAACAACTGCAGGAGGGAGTGCTATGTAAGGTGAACTCAAGCTCCTATATCAGCGGTCCCCAAACTCTTCAGCTGATCAACCCCGTCATGAAGTTTCAGATTGTCCATCAACCCCAAAATATTTATTACATGAAAGTAATGTAATATTACCTTAACGAATAGTACTACAAACAATAATGATAAATATTGGCATTGACAAAATCACCATCTGTTGGTTGCAAAAGGCAGCTTTACTTGGAACAGCTTACATTCTGTGAAGATACATTTAACACCATCAAACCATCTGCTTATCCTTGGGAAGGACTCAGTAGGTGGATAAAAAATCCAGTCTAATCATCTGGCTGACTATTGGACTCACTGTAATAAATAATATTATTATTTCTCTCCTATTGCTATGGATATTGAGAATGTACTGGCTCTCCAACAGAGTTTGAGAGCCAGAGGTGGAGGAATATGGTCAGTATGGGAAGTGAACAGGAATACTACATATATGCATATCCTTTCTGAGGCAGGGGAGTTGAGAGAAAGGGCGAGTGTGGAAGGTTACAGACACACAATACAAAAGACTCTAGTAAACAAGCATAAAGTAATAACATAAAGCCAACTCGAGCCATTCTCATTGGTGGCTGACCATCCAACCCCGAGTAACACTATCTCACCTTCTTGAAGACAAGGGACTGGCATGGAGCTCTACCTGGTTTTTGTTTCATTGTCCAACTTTTATTTAGACAAAATTCATTCAAATTTAGCAAGACTTCAGTGTGTGGTTGTGTGTGTGTGTGGTTGGTCAGTAATCAACAAAGCTTGACATTACTTTATATATCAAGTAATTTTTAATGTTAAAATATAGTTTTATTAGTCACATGCCAAATGCCACCATGTCATGTAGCATGACACAAAATAATCTCAAGCTTAATATAATACCATGAGTGGAAGGAAGGAAATGAATACAAATGCAATTTCCCAAACAATTCATATAAAGGCACTGCGGTTCCAGAGGAATGTGTTTCACAAATGTGTTGATGGAGAAGCGTCTCTTTTACTGATAACAATGTGAATCGACTTTTATTGGAGATATTTGTTGTTCCATCTTCTAAAGAGAGTTGTCATAAGAAATTTAATTTACTCTAGGTCTAGGACATAATTCCTCTCCATGAAGCTAAAACAAAATCATGGTGTTCTGGAACAATGTAAGCATCCAGGGCATTTGAAACAATGGTGTTTCTTATTTAAGTGCTAAAAATGAAAATAGCAAAATGGAATTAAAATGTACCTGCCAATTAGTCAAAATCAAATCCCCAAAGGCTGGCACACAGACACACGCCTGTTTTCATCCAAATCTGATTTATTCCTCTGTCAAGATCTTGTCCCTTTTGCTTAGAATTCAGAATGACCTTTACATGGAATTAAATGTGATCCATTAATGTTGCCGTACACCATCTAAAATTTTTTTATGCCACTTCACAATCTTATACAATGGTAGAGTGATAACAAAATAATGATAATTTTAAAAAGGAGGGAATCTTCAAGTGATCTTCTGAAATTTACTGTTCACCCAGAATTTGATTCTCTCTCAAGATTTTAATTTTTTCCAACATATTTTTAAAAAAATATTCAAAATTTATTTTGAGGTATTGTGAATATGGGGGTTTGTGAGTACTGGCTTGCTCCTCCAATAAGAGATTTAGAGCTGTGGTGATGCAGTGGTTAGAATGCAGTACTGCAGGCTACTTCTGCTGATTGCCGGCTGCCAGCAGTCTGGCAATTCGAGTATCACCAGTTCAAGGTTGACTCAGCCTTCCAGCCTTCCGAGGTGGGTAAAATGAGAATCCAGATTGTTGGGGGCAATATACTGACTCTGTAAACTGCTCAGAGAGGGCTGTAAAGCACTGTGAAGTGGTATATAAGTCTAAGTGCTATTGTTATTGCTATTGCTATTCACAAGGACCAGATCAGGGGTGAAATCCAGCAGGTTCTGAACAGATTCTGGAGAACCGGTAGCGGGAATTTTGAGCAGTTCGGAGAACCGGCAGTGGAAATTTTGAGTAGTTCGGAGAACCGGTAAATACCACCTCTGGCTGGCCCCAGAGTGGGGTGGGAATGGAGATTTTGCAATATCCTTCCCCCCGGAGTGGGGAGGGAATGGAGAATTTGCAGTATCCTTCCCTTGCCACGCCCACCAAGCCACACCCACAGAACCAATAGTAAAAAAATTTGGATTTCATCACTAGACCAGATCCATTACAAGGGATAACTAACTCTACAAATTTGGGAGTACTGCAATGCACTTTACATGGGGTTACCCTTGAAGAGTATTTGGAAACTACAATTGATGCAAAATGCAGCAGAGCAAAGAGTTCTGGAGGGTGGCGCACATAATGAGCTACATTAGTTGCCAATATGCTTCTGGGTCCAATTCAAGATGTTGGTTGCTACCTTTAAAACCCTTCATGGCATGGGACCAGGTTATCTGAGAAACTGTCTCATCCCAATGGGATTGGCCTACTTCACTTGCCATGGCAGAAGGGACATATTGTAGACAACATCGGTGAAGGAATTTTGGCTGGCAGAATCTAATCAGCCTTTTTTGCCATGGCCCCTTTGAGTCATCATTCTGCTGGAAGTAAGGTTCACCCCCATCCTGTTGACCTTTTGGAAGTACCTTAAAATCTGACTCTGCTGGTTGGCCTAATCAATTCAAGGCCTAATCAAATTTTCAATTGGGGATATGAGGAACAAAGAACAATCAAAATTGATAATTGATATGACTTCCCCATCCTTTCCACAAACATAGTGTAATGTGTAACAGGAAGTGACCTATTTTGCTATTATTTCCATTCTGTTATTTAACAATATATTGCTACTCTTTTTCCTAATGCTTTTTTTTTTACATGTCCAAAAGCATACTATATCTTATAACATGTCAGTAACTACATTTGAGTAGAAATGATTGTACCAGGTAAGTGGGTATGACATGAGATTCAATGTCACAGATGTCCATGCATGTATTCGTTCCCATCTGCATTTTTTTTTTTTACAGAAATAACTAATCAAACCAATTCCAAGTCCGGTAATCCAAATATTGAAGAATAAGAAATTTCAGTAAAATTAATAAAATCAATAGTGATGGGAAATATCCCTACAGATTCCATGCATTAAGTCTTTTTGCACCAGTTGTGTTCCCTCCCAAAATGATATTTCCAATGATCAAGTTGGAGTGTCATTGCTTTTATGGTCACAGTGAAATCATATTGTGCATGACAGAAAGGTATCAGTATTGGGGAACACTATTGTTTGTATGAAGTGTGGGGTTTTTTTTTAAAGGATACTTCTAAAAATATGGGGAAAGATTATCCTTTCAAACATTCCAAGGAAGACTCAGTAGCCACATAATGCTTGCCTATTATTTTTGAAAAAATAGTGCCCAGAGTGGTGTACTGAGGAAGGATAATTATGAAGACAGGGAAAACTAACAGAATTATTAGAAACTTGAATTGTCAATGAATATTCCTGGAAAAACAATGGAAACAGTACCCATTATCATTTTACAATGTCTTCACCTGATTCAAATTCTCCTTTCCCATGAAGACATGGGAATCAGTATCATGCCTATTTTTACCCCTGCATGACCTTTCCTAAATCCAAGCATTTTGGTTACAGGTTAAATGTGTTGTACATCTTCTCAGGAAAACAGTTCATACTTTAGCTTGCAAACTAGTAATTGCCATGAGATTTTAGAAGCAGAAGAAATTAGTAAACGAGTGGTGAGGATAAATGAGAGAAGAATCAGAAGTGATTGGATACCCATTAAATGTTCTCCAAGGAGCTGCTGTATTTAGAGGCAGCTTTCCATGCCAATTTTACTTTGAAGATGCATAAATTTTATAATTCTCATCATTAGTGCTATAAGCATAGTAAGGAATAAGTTAATTTTACAGTAATGTGATTATTAAAACCATTAGTCAAAGCCAAGGGATCCATAATTAACTTAATCTCCAGCATCAAGTAAATGATTCTACTGTGTGCTTTAAGGAAGCAATTGTTCACTGTTATGCAAAATACACCAGAGTTATTAGACTATAAAACTTTGTAATCTTATAATTAAATTATAAATTTTACATATTTTAATATAACCCACTTTATATATTTTAATTGTTTTCCACAGAATATTGAAAAGAACTATAATTTTACTTTTCTGTCTTTTAGCTAAAC